AGGCAAAAGGGAGGACTCTATCCTAAGGGAGATAAGAGCACTTTCGTCTGGGACTCATCAGCCTTTTGCCCTTCAGGTTATATAGCTGGGAGGAGGGCTGTGCCTTTCAGGCACAGCCAGGGGCTTTGCCCCTGGCGATACACAGCATTGGAATTGTTCCTGGGCTGAGTAAAGCCGTTCCTGATTGCTAATCATCTCTGAAACAGGGTGATACACAGCCTAATTGCGTTGCTATGATCCCATCAGTGATTGCCCCTGGAAACGAAGGCTGTTTCCTAGTGACAAGTAATTTCACTGATGCCCCTGATCTCCATTTGATTGATTGCAGATCAGGGGACTCTATTGGTAACCAGGAACCGATTTTAGGGTGCCTCACAATCCCTTTTATGGGAGCAAGGCTCCCCTGAACCGATTTTCTGGTTTATTGTATTACAGTACATTAGTACCTTGTTATGTAATACATTTCAGAGCTGTGCCATCCGATTTTAGACCTTGCCCATTGGTTGAGTTGGGTGGTTGTGTTAGGGATGGTTGAGTTGGGATAGTTGGGTGGGGTTTTGGGTCTTGATCCCCTATGGCCACCCACACCCATCTTATTCCACTACATGATTAGCATTCCCATGCATCCAAGTCCTCTGGAAGGTCACCATGTGCCTCAGAGTGTGATGATAGGACACTTTTTCTCCAAGCACAGGTAAGGTCACTTAAGTTTGTGGTCCTTTTCCTGCTAACTAGGAGTCTTTTGCTCAAGAAGTCAGATTTGAGCAGGTCAAAAAAGAGGCCTTCGCCTCCAGCCAATAACTGGGAGTTTTTCAGGCTCCACGACCCAGGACAGAGGCCCCTCGACGTCCACATATCTAAAGACACCTGGACTGGGAGGATCAGTACATCTGACTATAGACTTTTCCTTTGGAACATACTCATCCTCTTTACGAGGAGGTCTATTCTCTCTAAGGGCAGCCTTATATTCATCTGTCCTTAGCCTCTTGGTCGCTGCAGCATCGATTGACCAGTACGAGTCAGAGCCATCCACCTTTTGGTAATGTGCCCAAACGACTCTCTTGCCATTGACCATATCTGAAAGGCCCGACTCAGCTCTTGCCAAGGCCAGTGCCTTCCATCCATGTCCAACAACTGCACAATCTGGGGTGTTACACCATGTAACCTGAGCATGGTGTGTTACCCAAGACTTCTTGATAGTGTCCCATAACTCTTGGACGTTGAAAGAATCCCATACAGGGTTGAATAGTGACTTAAGTACCATGACTCCTCTGGGGTCAGATTCAGGATCACTAAGCCTGTTTTGCCATCTCATGGTAAGGTTGGACCTAAGCCATTTTTCAACATGTTCCATAGGATAGCCTCTAGCGATGTAAAGTTTAGCTAGTACTTTACACGACTCTAAGTAATGTTGGCTACGACTACTTAGAGTGGCTAACCTAGACATCTCTCCTAAGAATGTGCCTTTCTTCACATCAAAGGGGTGGTGAGATGCCCATGGGATTCTTTCATAGTGGTTCAGTGCCTTGCGATATGGCATATGTTCGATAGTGTTTGTAATTGGATCGATATATACCAAAAGATCGAGAAATGGGGTACTCCATTCCTTCACTGACCACTTGATTTCACAGTCATCAAATACGATTTGATTAACATAGTTTAGTGCATCCTCTAAAGTAGAGGCCATCACTATGCCAAGACAATCATCAATGAATCTTCCATAAAACAGGAAGTTACACTGAGGTTCCTCAAAGAACTTCTCCTCAAAATAGGCACCATAAAGGTTGGCAATGTCTGGTGAACATGCCACACCCATAGCTAGCCCCCTCAGTTGGAGATATGTCTGACCTTGAAAATCGAAAAGGAGGTTTCCATTCGCAATTTGCATGGCTCTGATAAACAGATCCTTCTCTGCTTGTTGCAAGTCTGTTCCAATATCCTTGAGCCACCATTTGAGGGCAATGGCTATGGCATTTTTTCTAGGAATATTAGGATAAAAGGCAACTACGTCACCAGATATCAACCAGACTTTCCTTTTGGGAGGAATGGTTACTTTTGAAAGCCTAATAGCCAAGTCTTTACTACCTTTCAAGACATATGGCCTCTTGTTCACCAAGGGTTTCAAAAGCTTTGAGACATATTTGGCAGCAGGACTCTGCATGTTGCTATGACAGGGTACAATTGGTCTTAATTTCCAAGGTTGCTTATGGATCTTAGGGATGCCATAAAACTTGGGCAATTGTGCTGTCAGGTAGAGTCCTTCTTCAGGGATCTTTGAAGCAAGGAATCTGCCCAATTGCATGTTATTTAGCAAAGTTGGCCTCTTACTTAATAACACACATTTGTCATATGTCTCTTTGAGTATGAGATCTTTCTCCTGCTCATTAACTAGTTTATAGTTGAGCGTGTCTCCAAGTAGATCCATACATTGCCTTGTGAACCAGTCCCTGGTTACTATGCATGCACCAAGGTTCTTGTCACTGGGTAAGACCAACAGGTTATGTTGGGTCAAATACCTTTCAAGTTGGGTAACATATACTAAGTCAGGGTGCCTTTGTATACGTTTGAAGCGAGGTACAGCTCTCAAGTGGTTTTCTATATAAACTCTTCCTGCTTCGATACCCTCCTCTACATATTTAGGTGCTCTAGGAGCCCTTGAAGTGTCCTTCATAGGGTCATAGACCTCATAGTCTGGGTCATAAGGCTGTTCATCCCTATCTTCTTGCGATAAGAAGTGTATTTTCCATCTCAGGGATGTGGCAAATCCTTCATATGCACTCATTACAAGTTTAGAATTGTAGTATGAAGGAAACATGTATTTTAAACCAGCAGATACATGAATAGCAAGCGATTCTGGAATAAATACATTCTCCCCACAGTGTACATGTGCCCTGAACCTAACTGCTTCCAACATCGAAACAGGGACTTTGGCCACAATGCATCTTAGTGCTAGAGGGGGAGGGATGGTCAGAATCAAGTCTGGGTAAGTAGAAGGTTTATCCCATACCCAGTTCAAGGCCATTATCTGGTCTTGGACTTGCCTGGCTTGCCTGGAAGCGAGGGATTGGCTTTGGCCTTGCCCTTGGGAGAAGTATTCTTGATTATATACTTCTTCCCAGCATCCAGGGCTGTCTTCTTCTTCGCCTGGGTGGAGGGCCCAGTATTCTGAAAAAGAAGAGTCAGTGGAAAGTTCTAATCTACTAAGAGATAAAGTAACTTTACTCACCTTTTTGTGAGAGGAGAGGGCTTTAGCCACTTCAGAAGCCACAGCCTCTTTCAGTGCCTGAGATTGGGTGGCAACATCACCCATCTCAACATCAGCCTGCTCCTTAAGGGCGATTTTGGCCTCAAATGCCTGTTGGGCCTTCACTTGCTTCGATTTTTCAATCTCCACAATTCTGGCACAGATTGAGGACAAATCATCCCTAACCCTACAGTACTCACCATAGTACACAGGGTTGTCCCTCCATGACACAATCCTCAACTCACCAGGAGCAGAGGGATTGTCCTCAAAGACAGGCTGCTGGTGCTGTTCTCTGAGGGCCAGATAGGTAGCATGTACCTTGTCCAGCATAGGAGGGAGGTAGTTGCTAATTAGCAACTGACCTGCCAGCCAGCCTCTTTCTTCATCCTTCAGCTGAATCGCCATATCCAGCATCTGGGTTCTGAAATCAGCAAATTTCTGGGACATTTCTGCCACCAGATTTGGCTGGGTGTCCTTAAACTCCTTTGTTAAAGCAAAGGAGGGCTCATGAAGGCCTAGCATTTGCTGAGGCCAAGAACCAGTAGCTTTGCAGTGCACTAACTTTGCCCAAGTTATGTGCACCCCTCCTTGCTTAGCAATGAGGGAAGCAAGCTGTAACAAGAGAGGCGATAAAACCTCCTTGTAGGACACAGGGATTGATGCCAAAACCTCCCCCACTGATGAACAGGTGGAGAGGGCATGCATTCTTTGGCTGGTGGTAGCCTGCCAAGAATTTATGCTGGCACCAATGAGAGCAGGGGACATGGCCCTGGAGGAGTGGGACTTCTTACTTACAGCAGGTAATTTACATGATGAGGAAGAAGACATGGCGAAAAAATAGCTAAGTGGAAGGGGGGCAGAGAAGATGGGTTGCTGAAGAACTAATTGCCCAAGCCAGAAGTTGAGTGATGATGAGAAGGCAAAAGGGAGGACTCTATCCTAAGGGAGATAAGAGCACTTTCGTCTGGGACTCATCAGCCTTTTGCCCTTCAGGTTATATAGCTGGGAGGAGGGCTGTGCCTTTCAGGCACAGCCAGGGGCTTTGCCCCTGGCGATACACAGCATTGGAATTGTTCCTGGGCTGAGTAAGCCGTTCCTGATTGCTAATCATCTCTGAAACAGGGTGATACACAGCCTAATTGCGTTGCTATGATCCCATCAGTGATTGCCCCTGGAAACGAAGGCTGTTTCCTAGTGACAAGTAATTTCACTGATGCCCCTGATCTCCATTATAGGTTAAAAACACCCACTGGTTCGGGTTGGGGGGGACCCTCGGGGCCCTCTCAAAATCCCCCCTATCGTACACAACTTTGAACTATTGAAACGACAGAAGCCAAACCAAACAACATGTATCATTGGATTTCACCATGTTTGATTTGCAATCATTTGAGTGACATGGTATCTCAATCACACATCAAAAGACAACATGATAATAATTGCGTGCAAGATTTGATCATGGGTCAATGTACAATGAGTTATATGTAATGGTGTTGATATACTTGAGGGTTGTTGTATTATTGAGCGCGCATGAAAAGACGACATGATAATTTTCTGCCAAATTTGATGATGGGTCAATATACAATTGTTATATAACGGTGTTGGTATGTTTGTGGGATGTTGTATTCCCAAGCGCGCGTGAAAAGACGACATGATAATTTTCTGCAAGATTTGATGATGGGTCAATATACAATGTTATATCATGGTGTTGGTATATTTAAGGGACGTTGTATTCCCAAGCGCGCATGAAAAGACGATATTACAGAACCCGGCAACGTTTCCTAGGACGCGCACTCAGCCCAGGATTCTCTGCTTCATCTTCTGATGACTCAGAATCAGCACGGAGGGATGCCTCTGAAGCTTTGTGTGCCAAAGAAGTGGAGGGCACTCGCTCCTTCATGGGTGGTACTCGGAAAGACTCCACAATGTGAAGGGAACGGCACTCATCACCCAAGAAATATCGCACTGCACAGAACACAGGGCACATGTGTGGAGGTTGGGCTAGGTGCTTGGAAATGGTCGCAAGCCTAGACTCCAATACCTCCTTCGGATGGCGCCTCCAGTCCATCTGATAGCGACTTCCAGGCTTGAATGCATTAGGTTTGCAGGCCTCTACCAGGTGGAGTCGGGCAAGGACAGCAATGGTGACCCCTTTCCTCTCTATAATAATAATATTATCATCATAATAATTGTGATACAGATAGCTTCAGGAAGCACTCACGGAGCTTGGTGTTGAACATGGTCATCACCTCTGCATTTTTTCCTTGCTCAGCAGTACGGGAGGCCAGTTTGATGGACTGAGTTCGGGCCTTCTGTTCGTGTCTCCGCCACCAAGGACTGTCCTCCACCAAAATACCGCAAATGTATATCAACCAGAGGTGGAAGAGTGGTGGCTTTGCTTTCCACCCTGATTGAGTCTTCCCATATTCACGATCCCATACAAGGCTGTTGGCATATTCAACCATGTTTGCACCCTTTGCCCGTTCCGCTGGAATCTTCTCTTCATTGTGTTTGACCCGATGGAAGGGAGCCCATGCAGTGAGGATGAACGCAGCAATGAGGCTGATGTGGAATCTTGCATCCGACATATCATAGCTCTCGGTGACCCAATTCGTGAGCTCCTGAGACATCGGGTCCTTCAAGATGTCTTGCTGGATCCAGTCAAGTGGAAGTCGAGAACGTTTGATGACCCATGTAAGGTCACCAAGCCTTGCATCAATCCAGTTCCATGATGCCTGTGGGTTTCCCTCTGTAATCTGGGTGCTGGCAATGGAGGCTGCAAGGCGATCTGGATCAGACATGGTTCCCAGATCAGGTCGTCTTGCATTCCTGCTGGGGTATATCAAGTCCACCCATGAATCATACTGTGCCCATTGACTCGACCTCCCTGTGGGAAACATGGTGGAATGTGGATATCGATACATCCGTCTTGAATCCATCTGAAAGACAACAGCCTCAATGCAGAACTCCTGTTGCCCTTGTGAGGATGATGTGTGTGGGCAAAGGTCTCGCAATGCCTGGAAGACTTGAGTGCAGACTTCCGCAGCAGACCCTTGTCGAAAGAAGGGTGCTCCAAGGCCCTTCCTTGTTGATGATGATTTTTGAACAAGGTCAGGCGGTGTGACCATTGCATACAAGCCACGGACCCATTCATAGACATCAATGCGGGGCAGGTTCTTCAAAATTGAGTGTATGGCTTGAGAGGAGGTAGCAAGTGTGAGAATCTGGCACTCTGTGGCCACTTTAGAATTGTCAAAGGGGTGTGCCCTGGACAAGAGTTCCTTGAGTGCATCAGCTTGGATATTGAGGCGACGTCGGTCATCTCGGTCACTCACATCATATGTGGCCTGAGAGTAGTTGTACAGAACAACACGCTTTGATGCGAAGCGTGGGACTCCTGCAGCATCTTTCGGCCATCTGGATGCATCGACATCAATCTTTTCCATTCGTTCAAGGTGGATCCCCACCATGTCACTCAGACATGGGAATCCAGTTTCCTTGATTCCGACAGAAAGCAAAAGAGGGTCCATCACATATGTGGACAGCACCCTTCCTGCACCACAGAACCCAAAGCTACCAGCTCGTTCCAGTGCTGAAAGCAGCTCTCGCAGCAGCAAGTTTGCTGGACGTCCCTCTCTCTTGCGTCGGACTTCAGATTGGTAGATGTGATCTATGGCCCAGAAGAGAGGGTATGTGGTCCAAAGATATGTCCGCTGAAGGACCTAAATCATCCCCATTCCCACCATATTAGACACGTCAAAGCTGATCATGACCAACACATACCTCAGGTTTGAAGATGACCAAATTGCGCCTGAGTTTGTCTACCAATTCCGGATCAACCCATGTGTCCACAAGGGGGGTGAGAATCTTCTCGAAAACAGCTCTGGAGATCAACCATCAATACAAAGTACAAAACTTCCAATATATCATTCTGACCTTCCAGTCCGTTTCTCCTGTGCAATTCCAGAAAAGTTGATGGTCCAATAATTCTCCAGTCGGAGATCAGTTGGTGGTCGCAAGTCAGGATCATTGGATGTGAGTTTATGCTTCATTCGGTCAAATGGCATCCCCCGCTCCACATAGGAGGACATCTCTTCAGCCTTTGTGCGTTCTGTCGGTTGGGCATATTGTCCAGCAAGAGCAGCAGTTATGGCTCCATGCATGGTTTCAGCTGCTCCTGACCTCCGTGCAATCCGATGTTGCAACTCATTGTATCCCTGGAAAAACACACCCTTTAGGGGCTCCACAGCATGCTGATGAAGGAGGTCCTCAACCTCCTGGGTGTCAAGTTCGTCACCACCAAGCAGTTGGTCATCATCAGATTCTCGGTTTGAGGGTGCATAGTCACTATCGTTATTGTCATCATCACTGTCTTCTCCAATGGGGTCGTGGCTTTGTCTTTGCCTTGTTCGAGAAAGCAATTCACTGTTGATTCCCTGTGCAGCCCTGTGGAATTCAGGGAGGACGGTGTTTGCTTGCACATGCCCAAAGCGTGTCATGAATGCTTGTGGGTAGACAGAGATGGACACATTTCCAGTCCGGTCGCCATAATGGAAGTGGTCAAACATCGTTGGGGCATCGTGTAACTGGAAGAGAGGGCCCCCTGGTGCAGCTGTTGCACTGAAAAATTGGACTCTACGTTCAATCCTATTTTTCTCTGAGTCATAGATGTTAACGTCATTTCCATCTATGTCCTGGTACGGCAGATTGGCGAGATCAGTGATTGGTTCATTATTTTCATCATAAACCTCGTCATGCTCTTCTAGGATAGTTGCAGGGTCCACATTGACTGTCTTAGCAACAGCAACGGCACTAAGCCCCAAAACAAAATCAATGCACACACTTGTGAGCCATCATACATTTGATGACTTACCGCAAGTGGGTGGCAATGGCAAAGCTCCAACGTGATATGTGCTCGAAAGAATAGTTTTGGCCAAAGGTAGTGATGGTTCGCTCCAAGTTGACATCACTTGTGTCAAGCAGTAGGTCTTGACCATATTTCATCGAGACAATCAACGGTATGGATTCCTTGAACCAAGGATCGTGATGCCATGTCTCAGGTGCATTCTCGAAGAAGTGTGATTCATATCGTTGAACCATCGTGTCATGCATAGACCGGACACTGGAGAGATTTAACATCGCTTTTGACGATTGCTGTGAGCTAGTGAAAATGCATCAACATATGAGCAAAGAGACATTGAATGCTCCAAGGCTTGCTTGACTTACACCCAATCTGTGATGGCCTTGTATTGGTCAAGCCTCCCGGACAAATCTATGTAGTAGTTGTCATGTGTGGAGTAGCTCCTGTTGGGGATACGGCCCATTGCCCAGAGAATTATGCAAGTGGCCATACGGACATGTGCGGGAGTCATCTGGGTGCGCTCGGATTGGGTACCCAGTGCAATTGGATCGTTATCATTATCTAGGAATGAGCGAGGTGCCATGGCAAGAAAGATGTTGTCATGATCCTGTGTACCGATGAAGAGCATCCTGCCTGTGGGGTCAAAGCCAAGGTCACCCCTGTGGTTGAGAAATGGACGGGAAGATCCCAACAAGTTGAGGTGGAAGCACCAGGTGGTATTCACATTAATGGAAGGGGGAGGAAGGATCACATCAAAACCGATGCGATCCGGGACTTTGAGGGAGAAGTCGATGTGGTGCCCTGCAGTGCGGTAGGCAAAGTGTTGGGTGACACCGTCTTCATAAAAACTGTGATCGACATTGAGCCTGTACTTTGTCCTGAGAAGGCGGAAGGCCCTTCCACCATCCTTGCGGTTGTAGAGTCCACTCTATAGAAGGGGGGGGCAATAGGCTATTGCCGCTGCACCCTCGGGATTTTCCGGGCTTGAAAAAAAGAGAAAAATCACACCTTTCTAACGGTGCCAATCATTTGAAATTTGGTGCAGCCGTTGAAAAGTTATAAGCGCGGACATTTCTGCACCCTGCACCCTTGACCTGAAGCCTCGATGTTTTCTCAGTCAGTTTTGAGAATTATGGGCGGCAATAGGCATTCCAGATAGCTGTGGGCGAGATCTACAAGATGAAAAAAAGAGGATGTGAATAGCTGCTCTGGGTAAGGAGATATGGGAAAAATAAAATTTGAAGGAAAAAAAGAATAAATAAATTGATAAGTGGACGAAAAAAATAGGGAAAAATGCGGGGTTTTTTGGAGTGGAATATAGTGAGGAGATAGAATGGGGTGATATTTTATTTGGAATTTTTTGGGGAAGTTTTTTTTTGAGGGTGCACTCGGGTGCAGAGGGTGCAAGTGAGGGTGCAAGTGAAATAAAAAGTGAAATATCACTCTATAGAAGGAGGGGGCGATAGGCTATTGCCGCTGCACCCTCGGGATTTTCCGGGCTTGAAAAAAAGAGAAAAATCACACCTTTCTAACGGTACTAATCATTTGAAATCTGGTTCAGCCGTTGAAAAGTTATAAGCGTGGACATTTCTGCACCCTGCACCCTTGACCTGAAGCCTCCATGTTTTCTCGGTCAGTTTTGAGAATTATGGGCGGCAATAGGCATTCCAGATAGCTGTGGGCGAGATCTACAAGATGAAAAAAAGAGCATGTGAATAGCTGCTCTGGGTAAGGAGATATGGGAAAAATAAATTTTCGAGGAAAAAAATAGTTAATAAATTGATAAGTGGACGAAAAAAATAGGGAAAAATGCGGGGTGTTCTGGGGTGAAATATGGTAAGCAAATATAATGGGGAGATATTTTATTTGTAATTTTTTGGGGAAGTTTTTTTTCAAGGGTGCAGAAGGGTGCAGAGGGTGCAAGTGAGGGTGCAAGTGAAATTAAAAGTGAAATATCTTAGTGAAGAAAATAGATATAAATATGGGGTCTTTTTCAGTGTGATATATTTAGGAGAGAGAATGGAATGGGATTTTTAAATATTTTTTTTTGGAAAATAAATTTCGAGGGTGCAGGAGGGTGCAGTGAGGGTGCAAGTGAGATTAAAAGTGGAATAACTTTTGACTGGATGGATGAAAATTGAAATGGTTGACAGGGTTAGGAAGGTGTGATTTTTGTGAATTTTTGAAAAGCAAAAAAGACATGTGGCTGTGCACTTTTTGCACAGCCACATGGGAAATTTTTTGATAGGAAGAAAGTGGAAGGTGAGAAAGGAGAGCTGCAAAGGTTAGTAGAACTGAAGTTGAGAAACAGACACAACAAACAACAAGACAACAATGCTACAACTAGACAACTAGACAAGGGAAGAAGCAAAAATGCAAAAAGGTTGGGACAATCTATAGAAGAACAAAAGGCTTTTTCTGCTGCACCCTTGGGACTTTCCAGGCTTGAAAAAAAGAGAACAATTACACCTTTCTAATGGTACCAATCATTTGAAATTTGGGTGCTGACATTTCTGCACCCTGCACCCTTGACATGAAGCCTTGATGTTTTCTTGGTCAGTTTTGAGAATTATTGGTGGCAATAGGCATTCCAGATAGCTGTAGGCGAGATCGACAAGATAGAAAAAAGAGCATGTGAATAGCTGCTCTGGGTAAGGAGCTATGGGAAAAATGGGATTTGGGGGAAAAAAATAATAGATAATTTGATAAGTGGATGACAAAAATAGGGAAGAATGCAGGGTGTTCTGGAGTGGAATATGGTGAGGAGATAGAATGAGGAGATATTTTATTTGGAATTTTTTGGCAAAGTTTTTTTTTGAGGGTACAAGAGGGTGCAGAGGGTGCAAGTGAGGGTGCAAGTGAAATTAAAAGTGAAATATCTAAGTGAAAAAAATAGATATAAATATGGGGTCTGTTTTAGAGTGATATATTTAGCAGAGAGAATGGAATAGAATTTTTTAAATATTTCTTTTTGGAGAACAATCTTTGAGGGTGCAACAGGGTGCAAGTGAAATTAAAAATGAAATATCTCTGTGGAAAAAATACAAAAAAAAGTGGGAATTTCTGCCCTGGCCTATGATTAATTTGTGAAATGTGGTAGCATTTATTGTGAATTTTTTGGAAGGAAAAAAATCTTAGGGTGCAGAAGGTGCAGAGGACAGTGCAGAGGGTGCAGAAATGTAAAGTGTGATAACTTTTGACTGGATGGATGAAAATTGAAATGGTTGATAGTGTTGAAAAGGTGTGAATTTTGTGAAATTTTTAATAGAAAAAACTGATTGGTGGCTGTGCAGGCTAAACACAGCCACAGAGGATGTAGACAATGAGGCAACCTGAGAACTTGGGAGTGGAGTTGGCAACTACAACCAAGCACAAAGAACCTGACAAGGTGACAACCAGCAAACCACAACCTGCAACATGCAGAGGGTGCAGAAATGTAAAGTGTGATAACTTTCAAGGGATGGATGAAAATTGAAATGCTTGATAGGGTGAGAAAGCTGTGATTTTTGTAATTTTTTTTAGCAAAAGAAAATAAGTGGCTGTGCAGGAATGACACAGCCACTTCCCTGGAGACATACAAATTTGGTACAAAGTTGCAACCTGCCAACCAGACAACTGCAACTGGAGAACTGAGAAAAGGCTGAGGGGTTAAGTTGGGTGAGTAGGGTGAATCTATATAAAGTGGCACAGGGTGTAGATTGGCTCTTTAGCCTATCTATGCCCCATTGAAAATACAGCAACACTCCCTTTTTTTTTTTCTCAATTTCTAAAACATGCAACTAGTCTTTCAACAACCCAACCCAACCCAACCCCAACCCAACAGTTGCCATGCTGTTGCCTTGTTGCATTCTCCAGTTATCTAGTTCCCTAGTTATCTGTTATCCATTGTCATGTTGCCAAGATTGGTTAATGTTGTCCAGTTGTTTAGTTGCCCCACCAGTTTTCATTATCTAGATACCATTTTGCCCTGCTGCTAGGTTGTCTAGTTGAGTTGTCCAGTTGTCCAACTTGCTGTATGAAATTTTAATTTCTCCAACCTCAGTGGCTGTGTTTTCCTGGACAGCCACCTATATTTCTTCATTTCCTAAAAAAAATTCACAAAAATCACACCTTTCTAACCCTACCAACCCCTTCAAAAGTTACCAAGTACATTGTATATATAGATGGGGTCCAGAGTCAAAAGGAACAAGGGTAAGGGAACTAGAAGGGGGAACAACACCAAGGGTCAAGGGTTTGACTCAATGATGTTTCCCAAAGGAGGTATGAAGGGGATGGGAGTCAATGGCTAGCTGACTGAATAGAAAGAAGCAGCAGCCCAAATAGGAATGAGGGACAATAGCAGAATTGAATGGGACAATACAGTAAGAACTACAAAAGTCTGGAAAGTCCAAACTTGGAAGTGAAACTCCAGAATATTGGCAAAGGTGAATAAATTAGCTAACCAATACAATGGACATAAGCAGAGGTTGGGTCAAAGTCTGAGGTCAGAGCTAAGACTGGAATTCTGGAGCAGAGGTCTGGAGTTGGGAGCATAGATGTTGTGTACTCATCTGGAAGGTGCCATGGTTGAGGTCGGACCCAGAATGGTCTGGAGTTGGACCAAAGGTGGTGTTGGAGCTGGAGGTGGGATAAGGGTGACAAAAGGGAAATGGGGCTCTGGAGTTGGTTTCAGAGTTCTGGGCCCAGATGGAGGTCAGGATTGTATGGATATGACAGCACTTACATTTCTGCACCCTTGCACCCTGCAACCTAAATTTTTTCCCTCCAAAAACCACATTCCACACACTGAGCAAGTCCACAGCAAAAAGTCCTGCTTTTCTTTTCTATTTTCCTCATTCACTTACAGTCATTCACCCCCCAATGGTGCGGATTTTACTAATCTGGACCTCAGTGTAATGAAGTTCCATGAAAAAAATTGATAAATTTGAATAACATGAAGAACGTAAATATGAATCAGTGGCCAGCAATATTTTGAGTGGAGTCCTGTCATGAAGTGAGTACGGGAGTGAGTATGAAATGGGTGCTTTCACCCCTCAGTGGTATCCTGTGACAGAGTGTGACAGTGCGTTCGCACGCTCATGTTGGACCCTGCTGACCCCATCAGCCACTTGTTCAGCACACCCTGGCACCTCCGGCATTGCAGGGGGCTTGTTCTGCTGGAGCTGTGGATAATTCTGAGCCATCCAACCCCTCATTCGGATTTCCGATGGCTTTGCTGGCACTCTTTGTTTGAGCGCAACTAAGCACGCTTTTTCCTCTCACCATTTCGCCACCTCTGCTTTTTGTGTCTCATTGAACTTTCTCCATCCCTCCTTGGCCTCCTCCTTCAGCTTCTCCAGCTCGGCCTCATCCAGCCTCCGTTGAGTGCGCTCAGCTTGATCCCTCAAAAAACCTTCATGTGTCACAACGCAGCCGAACGTTCCCTTGATACGTCCACCTTCCTCTTTCTCTTTTGACTTTTCCAATTCCTCCCATGCTAGAAGTTGTGTCTGTGATTTAGACACATACATTCCTCCCAATGCCAACTGGGCATTTGCTGCATCCACCACATTAACGGCTCTTTCGACCAGTGTCTTTGCCTTCCAAAACTTGTGTCACATTTCGTCGATCTCCTTCATCAATTCAGGGTGAGTCTTGTGCTCTGAGTTGTGATCATGTATCAGATCCCAATTGTTGAGGTGCCCATATGCGCGTTCGGGTAGTTTAAAGGTTGGACAAAGAGGTGAGGAAGATACGATAGAATTTGAGGATGAGGAGAATGACATGATATGTTCCAGGTCATCAACAGCACGCTTCTTTTCCCGAGAGTAGGAAGGAGGGAAGGTAGGAGTTTGACAACAAGTGTTGACTGTTGCAGCATCTGAGCCAGAAGGTTGCGGTGGTGTGCGGACATGTGTTGTCTGAGACACAGCAAACAATAAGGGATTAATGATCAGTCTGTCACACTCATTATTATCCACTTCGCTGTATGTTCCATCATGACCCCCTAGGTACATCTGAACATCCTGTGAGTCATCCATCGGTGAGGG